GAATTTGGATCTTGACATGTTGACGGTTTTCAATCCTAGGGTGTTGCAAGTGGTATTTTATCCATAACCACAACTCACCATGTGGTTCTTCAACATCAGTCGGTCGGACCTTTACTTATAGCCTGTTTGGCCAAGCTTCTTTTTGGCTAAAAGTGCTTTTTTTTTGTCAAAAGCACTTTTGGCTAAAAATTGAGGTGTTTGGCCAAGCTTTTGGAAGGAAAAAAAATGCTTTTGAGGAGAAGCAGCAGTTTTAAAGAAGTAGAAAAAAGTAGCTTCTCTACAAAATCACTTTTTTGAGAAGCACTTTTGAGAAAAATACACTTAGAAGCAGTTTTTTAAAGCTTGGCCAAACACTAATTGCTGCTCAGAAGTGCTTTTCAAACTAATTAGCCAAACACAAACTGCTTCTCACCAAAAGTACTTTTGAGAAAAGCACTTTTAAAAAAAAACACTTCTCAAAATAAGCTAATTTTTGCAGCTCGGCCAAACGGGCTATTAATGTCACCCAGGCTTCATACCGAACATGAATAGATCACCTGAGGTTGGGGTCCACAAGCGCTAGTTGGATTATAAAAGCTGTATGCTATTAAATCTCTATCAAATTCTTCTTTTTTCTTTCTCATTGTCCTTATCATATTTACGATTCACATTTAACGAACATACGGCAACCATGTCAAATGGTCGTACAATTAAACTTTACAGTTATATACATGTAAACTGTAAAGTTGAATAGGCTAGCGTGTGAATCTATCCGGCGATTTGAGTTGTTGGAGGCTCGTAACCAACTTATGACTCATAAATGTATATTGATCAATATTTTAGGTTATATTTTGCGTACAATAAAATATTGTGGGCTGGTCCTTCCCCGAACCCCGTGCATTGCGGGAGCTTAGTGTACTGGGCGGTCTTTTTTTTATTTTTTATTTTATGTTATATTTTGATGTAATTAGGATATGTAATTGTAGATATCGACTCGTTGATGATGTTTGAGCATTTTAATCAACAATGGAACAATGGAAGAGAAGTGAAAGCCCATGAATCTTAATAAAGCGAAAGCAAGGTAAGTTGATTAAACTTACTCTTGTTGAGGGATTTTCTCTAAAAGCATGTTTCGAGTTAATGCTTAAGTTGTTTACAAATGTGCTTTCGTGTTTGTGGGGACAAACAAGTGCAGATGTCTCTATGTACTAAAATATTTGTCACGCCCTGAACTTGGGCCTGGACGTAACACGACACTCGGTGCCTGACTACATGTGACCGAGCGAACCAACTGGCTGGCTGAATCAACATGTGATATAATAACATACTAAATGCGGAAGATAAACTAACACATTCTTCTATACTGAAAGTTTGAATGAAAAAAAAAATCAAAGTGCGGAAATACTAATACAATTCTGAAACATATTTGTAGCCCACATGGCTTAATATGAAAAGCTTGGACTCTTTCTAGCTGTTACTCTAGTCTATGAAGCCTCTAATGAAGCACTGAAAATACTCACTGTCTGAAAATACCGAAGACTGTAAGGTAATGATAATGCCCCGAAAGAACTGGGGATCACCAAATAGCTGGTACGAGAATCCTAGTGTTCTGAATCGTCAACCTGTTAATCATTACCTGCATCGTGAGATGCAGGCCCCGGGCAAAAAGGACGTCAGTACATTTGAGTTGCACTGGTATGTAAAGCAACTGAAAGAAAGAATTATAAATGCTGAAACTGAAACTAAGCTGATAACTGAGTTGATAATTGATAACTGAAATAATAACTATTGAAACTGAAACTGAAATGATAACTGATAACTGAACTGATAACTGATAATTGGTAACTGAAATAATAACTAATAACTGAAATGATAACTGATAACTGAAATGATAACTGATAACTGAACTGAACAAAGGAAGTAAGGATATGAATACTCCCTCTTCTGAATGATGAACAACTTGTTTATCTGAATAAGCTACGGCCTCGGGCCCAATATATATGTGCACAAGCTACGATCTCAGGCCCAAGTATACGTATACATAACTACGGCCTCAGGCCCAAAAATTCATAAAGCATAAATTACGGCCTCAGGCCCAAACATGCATAAAGCATAAAGGCCCAAACATGCATAAAACATATAAACTACGGCCTCAGGCCCAAATACAGGTGTTCAACATTCAAGAACTGAGAATGAAATTGCAATACATGATAGTGAAATACTGAATCACACTGAGTTACATGATACTGGAATACTGGATCACACTGAGTTACATGATACTGGAATACTAGATCACATCTAGTTACATAATACTAGAATACTGAATAGGATTAGACTGAGATGTGTATTCTTGAATTGATTATGAACACTGAAACTTTAATGGTTTATGGCATACTGAGTAATCTATACTAAGACTCGGGGGCATCAAACCCAAGTCTATATTGAATACGCACTGAGCTCACAACGTTCAGAAAGAAAGTCATGAACGAGTTATGAAGCTAGAGAATAGAAGTTCTGCAACTATTCAAGGAACTAGGCTAAACTATATTTCTGAGGCAATTAGTAACGTCGTAAAAGAAACGTAGTGTAGAGAGAATCATTAACATTCTCAAACATAGAGAGTTAGCCTCACATACCTTAACTTCCTGCTCTTGAGCGTAATACAACGTTTGTCAACCCTTTCAACTTTAATCTATAGCAATACAAGTCAAGTGGATTCCATATTAGCTATGATGCTCATGTTTTGGTCACTTAAGCATCTTATCAAACACTTGGTGAAAATAAAGCTTTATAGTCCTTATTAATGATGTCTCTACACCCAATAACCCATTCTCTTGTTCCTAGATAAATTCTAAAGTCTCAAATGGTTATAATCAACATTATTCTTTATCACCCATAAGGTAAACAACACCCTTAACCAATAATCAACAATCAACACCCAAAACATGTAGTCGTTCATGCTTTTCTATCAAACCCATCAACTCATATCTCATGAACTAGGGTTTATAATCATTAAACCAATGCTAGAATCAATTAGAGGGTGAAGACATTACCTCTTTGAAGTTCAATCCCCTTGAATTCGAGTTCTAGGCTTCCTCCTCTCAACAATGATGTCCCAATCGAATATCTAATGATATGGAGGGTTTACCCATGTTAATAAGATGTTGGAAAATTAAAATTAACTTAGAATCACCATTAGAACTTACCTTGGGTGGTGAAAGGACCCTTAAGGAGTTAGGTTTTTGAGAGCTTTCCTTTCTAGAGCAAGTTTTTATGTTTTGGGGTTGTGGGGGACGAAATAGGGCTAAAAAAAATGACTTCCCAAGTCGGCCACCGTGTTCCAGTAGGCCTGAACGTGGTAAATAGCTGGAGCACTGCCTCATGACCGCGGTCGCGGTCAAACGCGGCCGAACGTGGTGGTTATGCACCATTTTGTAAAATGGGCATAACTTTTTGTACAGAGCTCCATTTGGGTTCCAAAATATATCGTTGGAAAGCTATTTAAAAGGCCTACAACTTTCATGCTTTGAGTTTTACCAAATTTCTTACACATTTTCACTAAACCCTGCTGGAAGACAGACCTTCTGCAGACTTAGTCGATTTTGTCAAATCTTATGCACCTCACCTTCCATCTTGATTTGAAACAACTATTTTCTCCCATAATCATCCCGATGGTACTTCACATGTCCAAAATATAATCTTACTACTCCTTTAGCTCATTCATACCTAAGCCGAATTTATGGGATGTTACAATATTATGATGCATATGTAGTGTCATGTTGTTTTAAAAAAATTTATTTTAAATTTTGTTGGCGAAATGACACTTAAGGTAAATGTTATAAGTTTTTATCAAAATTTATGTGTTCATGATAAGAGTATACATATTTGAGTGCTAAAGATAGGTTTTCATTTGAAAGTATTTCTTTTGAAAATTGATAAATGGAATAGCACTTGTGGTATCTTTTTAAAGATTGATGTTAAATTGCTAAAGGCTTTAGCATATAAAAGGTTGTTTATTTAATTTTTGTTCAAATGATTTAGATTTTTTTATTAATGCTACGATTTGATAAAATAGATCCTTTGATGCTACTATGCTATGAATCTATTTTTGGAATATCATATATTTTGGGAGTTACTAGCGGAGACCACCGAGATTGGTTCGAATGTTGAGTTTGTTACCATGAAACTACATCTGCCGGTGTAGGGATTCCAAGGCTAAGCCGAGGTTTGTGGGATAAGTCCCCTAAGTGGGGCAAATATGCTATATTAGCATGGCTGAGTCGATTCGTGCGGCACTACAATGAGACGCCCTGAGCAAGTAAGGTATATGATACTAGCCGCTAGGCTGATCACCTAGTTGACCTTGTTCTTATGTCGGTGTCGGTATAGTGCTCCCGGTGAAAGGTAAAGAATAATTTCTTATGTGTAGGCCTAAGGAGCCGAAAGTGATTTCAATACTTAAAGCAAATGGAATGATTTCGTATGATTTTATTCAAAACCTTAGATGAATATAATTGTCTTAAAAGTTTATATCGTGAGTTATATTTCACTTGCCTTTTATTTAAAATAATAAAAATCATGAATTGATGAAATTACTTACCGTTTTATATCAAATATTGAGTAATTTGTTTACAACTTTCGAATCATATCTTTTATGAAAAAAAAGTGTTTTGCATTAAAGCGCAAGTTTAAAATAATGAGGGTGCCCCGTGCCCAAATGCCCTTTTGCCATAGTATTTCTCGGATGACAAAATTAGGGTTTGGTTAAGATGGTACCACACCCACACAACAAGCACGGGCCAATAAAAAAGTCTCACAGGCAAATAAAAAATTTAAAAATTAAAAGTAATAGTATCTCAAAAAAAAAAAAAAAAAAAGTAAGGCAAATTCAAAATTTAAAATTTATGTGTTTGTATAATAAATTTTTAATTAATATACCATGATAACTTAATTTAGTTTACGGTCAATTATTTATAGATATGAATTTCCCGTAACTTATAAGCTAGCTCCGTCCAACGAAATAGCATCATATGTGTCTCTCTATATATATTTCCTTTTCCCAATACTGTTACCATCTCTATGAGCTTCCTAACCCTTCCTTTCCCATCTACTATTTCTCTTACTCTCTAACATAAAAACAGCTTAAATAAATATGCAGACTCCATTCTTCCTAGAGATCTCTCTTGGATTATTGTTAATTCCCTTTTATCATGCAAATTTTCCCTATGTTTCCACTTATTCGACAGAGTCTTGAAATATGTTTCTATGAGGTTATTTAATTATATATGTTAACCGATTTCTTGGTGTACTGATTTAGCTTATCCTTTTCTGCCCAACATATGCTGGAACCTGTGAAAAAAATCATATCTAAAAACCCAAGAAAAAAGGAAGGAGAGGGAAAAAAAAGAATTCGGAGTCTTAATTTTTTTTGGTTTTATCTGGTATTTATATTTGTTAATTTTCTCCCTATACCTATCTTTTTGTGGAGCAAGAGTTATCAACCTTCCAAAGATATAAGGTTTTTTTATGTTTGATTTTTTTTTTTTTTTGAAATTAATGAAATATCTGGTGGCTAAATGGTCCATTATTTTAGCTAGAATTGTTAGCCCATTGTTCCAAGATATGGATGTACTTAATTAGATTTGCCCCCTATAAATATGTATATGTAAAGCATTTATGATAACCATTTTGAATGGTTGAAGGATAGGGTTTCTAGTCCACTTGGAGACATTCATAAAATTGGAGCGATACAGAGAAAATAGGGTTTCTGGGTCGATAGTTGAACAATCAACGCAGTCGTTGTTTGCAGATGTAGTATCATCAAGATTCACATATTGTAAAGGCATGGTGATTAATGAAGAAAAAAAAACGACCATGGCTTTTTTAGAGGTGAGAATCTTGATGATGCTGCATCAGCAATAAACGACTACCTAACTTACAGGAGCGAAGGTAACTAAACGAGTTATGAATTCAATAGCATATTCAGAACCCATAAATTTCAAGTTCGGCACTGCTTCTACTAACCTATACTTTCTTTTAAGGCTGTCACTCTAAGCAAAAGGAGAAATTCAGACCCCAGAAGTATAGTACTGTTGTTCAGTTTCTGTATAGATACATGGATTTGCCTTGTTTTATTTTTACTGTATTTCAGTTCAGTACTGTATATTCTTGTCAGGTCGATCTGTTTTTAATTTTTATTGTTTCAAAATCTAACAGGTGAATTTGGATTTTTGTTTTATTTTGAGACTGCTCACTGCTCTTTTGCTGATGAAATGAGGACTGTGTAGATCTGTGATTATTCTCTCCTGGCAAATGAAGTTATGATTATTAATGGTATCTCAGCCTGAAAGATCAGAAGTTGTCTTTTTTCATCTCTCTCTCACACACACAGTGTGTGCTTTTTTTTCTTGATGTAGTTGATTGAGTTATAAAAATATAACCATTATATTATTCGGTTCGATTTAGTATTTTTTCTGTTTGTAAATGAAAACCTACCCTTAGCTAATTATTCAATAGTGTTGGAGATTTTTACCAAACCCTAAAATAAGATTCGATTCGATTGATTTAGTCAGTTTTCAAAGAACTTTTGACATTCCTAACTTTAAACCTAATATATTTTAGGTCTTCAGAAGGAAAAGAGCCAAAGGAGACCAACAAGGGTTGTGGACTTCTTCATCCTTAACCAAATATCTCGGGTTGGAGCCCTGGGTATGGAGTCGTTGGACTCCTTCATTCTTAATCAGATGTCTTGGATTTGAGTCCTGGGTATGGAGTCGCCTTGTTAGAGAGTGCTTTACCTCCCAATGTGAACTTTTCGGCACGAATCCGGATTTGATCGGCCCAATACAAGTACCGAACATTGGGTGGAAAATCCAAAAATAAAAGGAGCTAAGGGAGAGTTGGAGTAACCTAAAGAAAACTGAGAAGAAGAGGTGAGAATCAAAACCTGCTTATTTTCTTTTCTCTTATTATTTTTCCTAATCTTTTCCTCCTTCATAAATTCGATAATACCTACACACTAATAAAACTGAAGAGCACAGAGAAGTTTGAGTTGCTAAATTTCTTTGTTTTTTCAAGACAGAAATTCAAAATATAATTAAGTATTTCATGGGAAAAATCATCCAAGTGATGTATTTGTCTGTTGAATCAACAAAAGATTTTATGTTGGAACTGCTGCTTTTGGATTTTTGTGACTTTAATTTGAGGGTATGTCTCAATATCATGGCGTACATGTCACAATTGTTATTATCAAAGTTGGATTTTGCCTTGAAAGAGATTAATAAGTGTACTAATATTATGTATACATTTCTAAAAAGAGTTATACGACAGTCAAACCGTGTTTGTTCTCATATTTTTTGGATGCTTGATAATAGGTGAATTTGACTATAATCACACCATTAAATAATCACCTTCTTGTGTAGTTTTAATGCTAAAAGTGATAACAAAATGCTCTTATTAGTGCTTTTCATGATTTGTAGGTGATATAGGTATAAGGAAGGCTAAGGAGCAGTTTTGGAGTTAAAAGTGATGAAAAAGAGGTCAACTGTGAAATTTCCCAAGTGAACCATGCAAAACAGGCCGAAGATTCAGAGTACTGGATCCACCGTGGTTCCACCGCGACCGCGGCAGAACCGCGGTGGGAAGCAGCTTCAGAAGATCAGAGATTCCGCGAGGGTGTTTGGCCGCGGTTCTGCGTAGGCGCAGAAACTTCAGGGACCAAAGTGTCAATTACGGGATTTTTAGACCTAAACCCTATTTTAAAACATTAGACTTCGCCCAAGAGAGGCATGTATTGATTTTTAAGGTTTCTTAGCAAGCAAAACCATTGTGAGAGAATACTCTAAACATCTTTCTTCTTTTCTTTTGATTTTTATGATGAATTCAATCTTAGTTTCTTTTCCCCTAGCCATGAGTAGCTAAATTCCTTGTCTAAGGTTTTGATGGAACCTATTGGGTGATGAACTTCTTGTTTATGTGAATACAAATTGCTAGTTTAATCTCTATTTGTTCAACTTCGTGTTTGTTGTAGTTAATTGACAGGATCCTCAATTAGCTGTGCCTATTTAGTGTGCATAACTTGGAAAAGAGTGCATATTTAGGGTATTGTTGAACAACACCACTCCTAGATTATTAGAGGAATCTATAATTGCAGGTTTAAAGGCGGGATTAGGGATAACGAAGCCTTGGATGTAATCTAAAGTGAATCGTGCTAAATAAAGTAAGCTAGTGTATCTCGGGAGAGTGCAATAGTAAATTATTGTGATTACTCGGGAAAGATTTGCGGTAAGATTAGCATTCATGATTGATAGAGAGGTGTTGGTAAATTTGTATGAGCATAAACAGAAGGGATTCCATCAATAGGGGAAATCATTGCCTTAGCTTTTCCTCATAATTGTTTACAACCTTATTAGTTTAGTTTACAGCCATTTAGTTACTTGCAAGCTAGTTGTTAAAGAACACTTAACTGAGATTTGAATATTTGGGAAGCTGGTTCTGAAGAATTAGTGGGTCTGAAGATAGTGGTTGATAGGTTAACTCTCCGTGGATTCGACCCTGGGCGTAATACTCGGGTTATATTTGCAACGTCCGCAGAGTCCTTTTTATAAGACATAGTTGGGCGTGATCAATGCTATAGTGAAGTGCTGTATATAGAGGAAATATATTATAACATAACATAAATGATCGGATCCGAGAAAACTTGCTTTATAGAGAATGGATGTTATATATGAATACTGTTATAGAGAGGTCTGAGTCTTTATATCAGCATGCATATTTGGAAATCTTGTGAGAAACTGATCTAAAAACTGAAAGTAGAATTAAACTGGCCTTAATCAACTTGTTATCAGAATATTTTCTATATTTTCTCAATTACAAGAATATTTGGAAATTGTTCAATTACCAGAAGTTTTCTATCTTTTTTTATTTTGACATGGCTAACTTGATACTACAATGCTGGCCATATTTCTGTTTTGTGGTTTGTATATGCAAAGTAGGTAATGTGCCTCTATAAATGAGTATAGAATCCTGATATCCTTACATTTTTAAAAGCCCTTTCTCTTTCCTTTTCTAATTGTTTTCCTCCTTTAGTGTTTTGTTATACATTTTAATGTATATTGGTGATGTACATAGTTACCTACGATCAATGGTGTAGGCGGGATTTTGTAGCGGTGTCATAATTTACAGAAATAGACAAATGAATAAATCACTATAATAACAAGCGGTGTCATTTTCTATACGTATCCCCAATATTTTTTATTTTTTTAAAATAAATATCTAGTGAAAATTTTCGACCAAGCATTGTCCTGTGACACCACATGGTATGAGGTGCATACGCCCTTACCTACAATAGGTACCGGTTTAATTCTCAATGTGTTCTCCTCCCTCTTTCTTGATCCCCTATACAACGAAAGGTTTTTTAAGAATATATTAAAAACAACGTCTTGTTGTATATATTTTAAATTAAAATCGCCTTGACGTTGCAGAGGTTTGGCATAGATTCTTACCTTGTAAATTGATAATAATGAACACATGAAGGTGAGGGACATAAAACCGGACCTCCTCAAAAACTAAATGGGAGATGAACATGCCCATCTCTTTTCAAATTGGTAGCAACGGCTTAATATTGTGGTTTGGTGTACAATGATGAACCCATATGCAGGGGCGAATGTAGTGTTCTGCCGACGAGTTCAGTTGAACGCATAACTTTCCGAGTAAAATTTTATTGCAAAAATTCATCAAAATTGCTAAAAAAAAAAAAAAAGATATGAGCCCATAACTTTAATTTGACGAATAGTTGTGGAACGCTATGCAGGTTATGAGGTAACCAATACGCTGTTCTCTATGGAGTTTAAATTAAAGGGCCTGTATATTTTCGTTAATGAAGTTTATTACTCCTAAATATTTACCATACCAAGTTACTTCTATTTCAATAGCTCAGTGGCCACCAGCTTTAACTGTTACTTACTGCTCATGGAAATGGAAGTTGCTTTGGCCCAAGGGAAAATGGAGTTGATGGTGTTGCTAAAGAAACATAAATTAGCGACAGACTAATTTTTTAGCTAAATAAAAAAATTCATCGTTAATCTTATTTAAAGATGGATAAGCGATAAATTATTAAGAAAATCTACTAGCTACAAGCAATTTAACGACAAAGTATCGACGAAATTCATAGCTAATACTAGTATTTTTTTGTAGTACTATTGGCTAAGAATGGGGGAAAGAGGAAAGCCTTAGGGTACGCTTACTTCTGCATTTTTGTTTAAGTTCTCGGTATGTATATTCTTAATCGATCTTTTTATTGGGGAGGAATAGTATGTGTTTCTTTTCAATTGTTGGATGATGTACACCAAGTCCGTATCCATATTCGTCCTCTTTCTAATCTTGAACCAGCCAAATGACAAGTGAGGGCTGCTCAGTTGGTAAAGCATCTCCACCAATGACCGTTAGATCCTGGATTCGAGTCACGCTGGAGGTGAAGTGTGGAAACACTATAGATCCTCGTAATTTGGGAGGGAATTTTAAAAAAAAAAAAAAAAAAACCAGCCAAATTAAAGGATAGAAAAACCACCTCAAGATTATTGCTTCTATCTTTAACATTCTTCAAGTTTTGTTCCTTTACAAATAATACGTGTATTATTCAACATCAATGTTCATCAAGAAGTGTCTGTAAAGTTGCTTTGCAGTGCATGGTAGTAGTAGTTGAAGGGGTCATTTGGTCGGAAAGAAGTTATTCCAGGATTAATTATTCTGGGATTTATTATTTCACCTTTTCATGGGGATAAAAAAATACTACAATCCCGGGATAACTAATCCCGAAATTAATTATACCATAATTTACTTACAACCAAACATGGGATAAACTCTTCTTAAATTTAATTTAGGGATTAATAATTTCTTATCTCTCATACCTAACGAGCCTGAAGGGTTTAACTTTTAGAACGTCTAGAAGTATTTTATGCTACCAAGTCATCTAAAAGATAATTTCATATAATCATAATTAATTTTCACGGAAAATAGTTGTCACACCATGCATTTCTATTTTGATTTAAATTTCTCTTACTGGTTGTCATTGTGGATGTCACTAGTCACTATCAGTGGCAGATGTAACGTTATACTTACAGGTTCAATTAAACCCATAACTTTCGGGCGAAGCATAAATTTATATATAAAAATATATTAGAATTATAAGAAATAGTAGATATGAACTTTACCTTTATAACTATAAGTGATTTAATACTAAAAATCTTAAATGCTGAACCCGTAGAATTTATATTTTGAATCCATCTCTTATCAGTATACCATAATAACAAATTATATGTTATAAAACAATAAAAGAACAAGAGCAATATTGCAGAGAAAGAGAGAGAGGGAATTCTTATTGAATTTTGGGATGAATTACAATGGAATAGAACCCTCTATTTATAGGGAGAGGTTGACTTAGCCACCAAGTAATAAACCCTAGAATCTCTCTAAATATGGACATTCACCATAAATAGGATTCTATTTATAGCACTCCCCATGAATGTCTATTCAACAGATAATGTGCCTCGTTAAAACCTTAACTAAAAGAAAACCCAATGGGAAAAAAATTCTAGAAAAGGAAAAAGAGTACACATGTTTAGAAATGCGCCTATTAGTTGCCTCGTTAAAAACCTTGCAAGGAAAACCCAGTGGGACAAAACCTTGTAAGGAAAAAAGAGTGCAACGCGCATTAACTCCCCCTGATGAGAGCATCAATTTACATCCTTGAGCCTTCGCATCCCGATCTTGTAAACTAGCTTCTTGAAGGTTGACGTTGGTAGAGATTTTGTGAACAAATCAGCCATATTATCACTTGAACGAATTTGTTGCACATTGATATCACCATTCTTTTGAAGATCATGTGTGAAAAATAACTTTGGTGAAATGTGCTTTGTCCTATCTCCTTTTATGAATCCTCCCTTCAATTGAGCTATGCATGCTGCATTATCTTCATACAAAATTGTGGGTAACTTGTCACATTTCACACCACATTTGTCTCGAATAAGATGTATTATAGACCTCAACCACACACATTCTCGACTTGCTTCATGAATAGCAATTATCTCAGCATGATTAGATGAAGTAGCCACAATTGATTGCTTAGTCGATCGCCAAGATATGGCAGTGCCTCCACAGGTAAACATATAACCTGTTTGAGATCGAGCCTTGTGTGGATCGGATAAATACCCAGCATCAGCATAACCAACAAGATTGGGACTGCAATTGTTGCCATAAAATAAGCCCATATCGGTAGTCCCTTTTAGATACCGCGATATGTGTTTGATTCCATTCCAATGTCTCCTTGTGGGAGCAGAGCTATATCTTGCTAAGACATTAACAGAAAAAGTTATGTCGGGCCTTGTTGTATTAGCAAGAAACATAAGTGCACCAACCGCACTAAGATATGGTACTTCAGGACCAAGTAGCTCTTCATTCTCTTCTTGAGGTCGGAATGGATCCTTATTCACATCAAGTGATCGAACAACCATCGGAGTACTTA